CTCCCCGCGGCACTGCTTTGGCGGATCGACCGGCGCGGCGCCCATTCCGGCCGCTTCCGTGCATCGTGGGGTCGTCGGCCCTCCCTCAGCCGGTCGGCGGCGGCACGCATCAGATAGCTATTTTCACAATCAAAAAAATAGTTGAGTGGTAATTTTCTATCACACAACAAGCCTGATGCATTCCTCTACTTCATCCATCCAACTTAAATTCTACTAATAATATCCCCATCTATTTCACAATCACTCTGAGCAATAGAAGATTTCTAAAATGTGTACTCTTATTACTGACTTGATCGCTCAAAGTCACAAACCCCCCACTAGATCTATTATTATTAAAATTATACTCCTTGTATTCGATTTTAGATCTACTCAAACGAAAACCTTTAGACTCAAAGGATGATCCTTGATGTAATCCAACTAAAATTGGAAAATACTAGGTCAAACAATCTTGTGTTTGAATACAAGTAACAGTTCTAGCATACATATCCCTAATAACTTGAATATAAGCATTATTAATACCTTTCTTTTTTAGAACTCCCCATAGAACTTATCTTGGAACTTTATCATATGCTTTCTCTAAATCAATAAATATCACATGAAGATCTTCCTTTTTCTCTCTATACTTCTCCATCAAACCTCTCAATAAATGAATGGCTTTCATAGTAGACCTATCTGACATGAATCCAAATTGATTTTGAGAAATATTAGTATCATATCGTAACCTCTGCTCCATAACTCTCTCCCATAGTTTTAAAGTATGACACATCAACTTAATTCCTCTATAATTTGCACAATCTTGTGCATCACCATTATTCATAAGGATAGGAATCAACACACTCATTCTCCACACATGTGACATCTTTTTAGTCTTCAAAATAATATTAAAAAGTTTTATAAGCCAAGAAATTCCTTCATCTCTTAAGCATTTCACACCTCTATTGGAATATCATTAGTTCCAACAATTTTCCCACACTTCATTTTCTTTAAAGCCTCTCCAACATCAGTTTTAGTAATACGCCGATAAAATTAAAAATCTTTATTTTTATTTAGAGTGTTAAGGTCACTAAAGTCAATTGTATATTTACAATCTTCATTGAAAAGTTTAGCAAAATATCTCATCCACCTTTGTTGAATATCCTCTTTTTAAAAAAATATTTTTTGATATTCATCCTTAATGCACTTCACTTGAACTAAATCCTTACTACTCCTATCTCTTTGTCTGGCTAGTTTATACATATATTTTTCGTCTTCTTTAGTATCTAATCTATTATATAAATTATTAAAAGCTAAAGTCTTTGCATCACAAAATTCTTTCTTAGACTCCTTATGAGCAACTTTATACCTTTCCCAATTTTCAAAATTTTTGCATCTAAACTATTTTTTTTATAACAGAGCTTTTTTTTTTTTATCTTTTCTTGCACATTTTGATTTCACCACCAACTATTTTTACTATTTGAAGCTTTTCCTTTAACATCTCGTTCTCATAGGCATTTTAAAATTCTTAAAATTGAAAATTACAAAAGAAAATAAATGTTATTCTTATCATTGAGCAGATATCCATCAACTAGCAATTTCTATTGAAAATTTAATAGAAATTTCAACCGCATATAAGCAGATATCCATCAACTAGCAATAGCCACAATCTAATTAGCTCTAATTTGAAAGGAAAAAAAAATCTTTCTGAACCACCGTTATCATAATTAATGATACTTCACGTATGTCAGGTTCTGGTTTTCAAGAGAACATATTATTAACAATAACAAAGCAAAATGTCATTTAAGCAAAGAGGATCATTTCAGTAAAACAGCTAATATGCAAAGAGTATTAAGCATTTCTATTATAAAAATTAAGATCTTCATTAAATTATAGAAAAAACGTACCAAAAAAAGGTAGAATAAAAGCGATGAATACGGTTGACAATACTAGTGCTGTCCTCAATAGCACACTGCACCAAACACTACAGGAGATTCCCAATGGAAGAAGCTCCTCGATACTCCTTGCCAGTGGATTAAGCAACAATGCATATCTATTAAAGGTTCAGAACGAAACAAAGGCAAATAAAATAATAATTTATGATAAGAGTTAAAATAACAGTGTGTTTGCACCCAATGCTGACTAGAATAATAAATTCAACAAATATATTAGAAATGGAGGAAACAAGATAAAATAACACGCAAGCACAAGAGTTAAAAACTTCTGAGAGTCAAAAGGATACTTGGTGAAAGGATTTATTACCTGATAAAAAGGTTAATCGAAGAGTAAAAATTACAAAAGAGAAAAGCAGTTATCAATAAACAAAAAATATGATAACAAGAAATACTACTCACAGTCGTCCACAGAGCAACCTTTGATGCCACGGCATCCTTTGGCAAATTTAGGGTTATCTGGGATAGTGTACTCTCACCAAACATAAGAAAACTAATGGCGGCAAAAGAACCATAAATTGCTGTGCACAAAGAAAAGCTGTTTGATGATAGGAAGAAACAGCCAGAATCAAATAATGAATAATGATAGGACTAGTAGATTAAATTACTTGGCAAATTAAATTTGGAAATGCATACCATATTACTAATGCCCTCGTAAATTTTGTCCGATCAGCCATAGACTGATAAATATTTGGAAACACTGCGTGACCTGAGTAGCAAAATCCATATATTCCGACAGCAAAAGGTACGCCACTCCATCTCACAACTTCACCTGTTTGATGATACCCAATCCCATCTGTTGCCCCCACAGAAATAACAGAAAAGAAAACAAGAATAGTTGCAAAGACACCACCAGCTGTAGAAAATTTTAAAAACATCAGAGACGACCCTTCAGTCATATTTTTAAACAAAAGAGGCACATAAAACCATGTTATCAAACCTGAAAGATAAGAAAGAACCCTGAGATCTCTTAGACAAACAGTTGGTAATACAACCAAAGCAGTCAAAATTCCAAAGAAGTGCGAAGAATCCAAGTGAATGCCCCCCCAATCAAAAGCAACACCAGGAAACATCCTTGTAAGATTGTCACCTTCCAATATAATAAATTCCACACAATATGACTGTAGAAGAAAAACAGTAGCAGGCAAAGTTGAAGATCTCTTGAAAGGTCGCCTCAGAGGCAAAAGAAAGGGAAAAAAAATAATAAAAAAAAAACAGATCGTAGGTGACTAAATTCTTAAGGACCAAATTTGAACTCCACTTACGTATAATTCCGTGTACAAGACAATCTGCATCATGGATTAAGCAAACATTGATTAGTACTGAGGCGGTGATATCAAGTACATCTTCCAAGCACATAAGCAGAGTGAAGAACAGAACATAAAGAAATTGATGGTGAAATGGTAAAAATCCATTTGTAACTGCGGAAAATGCATTTATATTATAAAATAAAAAACAAATCAAATCAAAATCTATGACAACCTAAAAGTAAACATAAATTTTTTTGACAGATGAGACTTGGAAAGGTTGCGCACAACAATTTTATGACCTAATGGCAGCAGTTCCAACCTTTAGACAAAAGTATGCAAATTTTCAGCCGTCACTTGTCTATCATGGCTACATACGATGCTTGATAACTGGTCAATATCAATAAAAACACTAGACGCGTTATGTGCTATGGGTAACAGTGACAGCAAACGTATAGCAACTTCATGTTGAGATTTCAATAATAAAGGTAGACAATGCACAGTTTTAAATTATCTTCTTTCAGTCAACAGGCAAAAGAACATCCATTAAAATGCAACCTACAAGGTTGAATTTTTTTCAAAGAAAGCAAATTTTATTGAGTCACTGAAGTACAACTGATGCATGCAAAAATTTGGGACAACCCCCAAATTTTTGCAAGTAAAAATTAAACCTTCTTAGGAAATAGAAATGACACAAAATTCTAAAAAAACATCTTTTATATCATAAGAAGACAATTACAAACTTTGACACTTACAAACACAAACATAAATAATTACCTTACAACTCTTGACAACCATAAAACACCTAAAATTGCATTTCTTTTGCTTGAGAAGAAGGATACAGGTGGGGTGGTCACTTGCGGATAGAAGAAAGAGGTTAGAAGACTAGATGAAATATAGCTCGCAAGCTAAAAAAGGAGAGGAAGGTGAAGGACATAGCTCGCAAGCTATTCCAAAGAAACCCGCAGGTTTTATCCAAAATCATCATCACAACAACTTTTTTTTTTTTGACAAAAAACAACACATTTATAGGAGAGAAAGGGGAGACAAACAGCCACATAAATCTTTAATTAAACCAATTAACTAAGGGTAAGATGAAGGCCAAAAGACACCACAGCAGCCCCCAAAAAACTGCACAGAAAACTGATTGGAGAAGCCACAGGACACAGTCAGGAAAGCCACGGGAAGCACAGCCAGCAAGCCACGGGAAACCAAGCCAGCAAGCCATGGGAAAGCAGCCAGAGAGGGACCCGAGGAGCCAACATAGAAAACGGGGCAGAGGATTCACGGGAAAGCAGCCAGGGAGAAATCCCAAAAGACAACCAACCCACTACAATTACTCCCAAGGAAGAAACCAAATAGATACAAGAATGGGAAGAGAAAAGGGGCAATAATGCCACTCCAATAATGAGCTATTTGGTAAAGAACTTTTCATAATAATGAGCTAAAGTTTTAGCTCAAGCATTTATGAGCTAAAACCAAGAAGATTCCAAAATTTCAGCACAAAACCAGTGCAGCCAAAGCTCAACCCGAGAGCAGCCAAGGCCCAAACCAAGAGTCAGAAAACAACCCAAAGCTTGCCTACATCAACAATATGAAATGTTAAGAAAGGTAGAGGTAAACCTAAAAATACTTGGTCAGAAAATATTAGATATGACCTTTCTTTATTAGATTTAAATGAGAATTTAATTTTTAAGATGGCACAATGAAGAAAAAGGATTCATGTAGCCGACCCCACATTGTGGGATAAAAGCTTGTTGTTGTTTTTGTTGTTGTTGAATGAAGCAAATGCATAGCATTACTAGGTGAATAGAATAACTAAAAAAATTACACTGATAAGACTGCAAAGGGGCAAACAAATAATTTTCAAGAATGAAATAATCCTAAGGGTCCTCATTAAAAACTTCTAACTTGTGGCTTGACACATTTTCTATAGTGACATTACATTTTTCTTGTTGTTCTTTCCCGCCGAGTATATACAATTTGAAAATTATTGTTCACTAACTCTTCAGTCCTGGAAATGCTAACATCATAACTAATTGACAGAGATTCTCAATCATCAACTACCCCGGAAATGGGAAGATCGTCAACTCCTAGAGAGTTTAAAGCATTAATCATATGAGTAGGTGCAATGTTTTGACTAGCAATCCGGGAAGGCAATGATACCAAGGCAGGATCTAAAGTTGATTCAAAATTTTAATGTACAAATTAGATTATAAGAAAATGTAACTATCACCATTGAATTAGAAGATAGGTTATACCAAAGTAATTGCCAAGTAATTTAATAAATACACCATAATAAGGAATCTTGTTTAAAGCAAAATATCATATCAAATAAATGATATAAGTATAACAAGGGAAATTGCCAAGAATTACAGATATGTAAGGAAAAATACTAAGCAGCAAATACAAATAGCATGAAACTAAGGATGGACCATCCAACAGCATAGGAAAGAAAAAAAGAAGAAATAAAACTCATTTGGACCACACTTGAGGCCTAGTGAAAACAAGAGTGACGATATTTTTTTGAGTATGTTCCCATTTATAAATATGATTTGATACCTCCTATCCACCCAAGCGTCATTACTTATAATGCTCCTATCAAAATTATCAGATTTCTAATAATCGTGAATATATATGTATTCATAATAGAAGGGAGAGGGTGTTGACCCTCATACTAGTGTCGGGTCGAGTCGACTGCGCAAGGGGGGTTTCAAAAGCGAAAGAGCTCGAAATCGCGCAAAAACTCACCCGACGCGTGTCGACTGAAAACCCAAAATCGCCGAGACGAGCTCCGTTCACGAAACGGACAGCGCCGATGCGTCCGGAGCAACGGAAACAGCTAAGATTGACACCCATATTGGTAGGGGTCGTCGGTCGGCGAAAAATTAAATTTTGGGCGCGCGAATCGAGACGATGACTTGTGCGAGTGACGACGCGACGACCCACTCGATGCATGATTAAAAAAAAATTATTTTATTGTGCAATGTAATTAAAATTTTTTTTTAGAAAGAGAGGGAGAGAGGTTTTTTTAAAAAAAAATGAATTTTCTTTTAATAAAAAATTCCAAAAAATACCTAAAATACCCCTAATAACCCTCATAACACCTCCCAAACCGCCCCCCTCTCTCATTTTCACGCCAAACTCACGGCTCCCTCTCCCTCACACGTCTCCAAGCCGCCTCTCTCGCGATTCCAAGCCGTCGGCCACCATCCTCCCTCCAAGAGCTCAAGGTAATCCCTTCTCCTCCTTCTTCCTCTTCTTCCTCCATTTTCTTCTTCCCATCTTCTTCTTCTTCCTTCCTTCTTCTTCTTCTCTCCCATTTTTCTTCTTCTTTCTTCATCCCTCCACATTTCCTTCCATTTTCTTCTATTTTCTTCCTCTACTCCCTTCTCCTTCCTCTCCTTCATCTTCTTCTTCCTCCTCCAAACTCTCTTTCTCAAACCTACACCAAACCCTAACCCTAATTATTTTTTTCTCTCACTTCCACTCACCAAACCACATACATTCCTTCACAAAAAACACTTCCCTACACTTCCTACACCCTTCCAACAAAGAAAAATTTTCGTCCTTCATTTTCTCTCTCTAACCTAGAGAGAGAAAATTTTCTCTCTCTAGAAATCTCTTCATGAATAGCTCCATCTCCACCCCAAACATCTTCCCTCTCCACCATACCTCCAAATTCCTTCCCTAGAGGGAGAAAACAATTACACACTCTCTCTTTCTCTCTCCAAAATTGAGAAGAGAGGGATTTTCTCTCTCTAAATCTCTCCTCTCACTTCCTTGCACCTCCTAAACCCATTCTACACAAATTCCCTTCAAATTCCATCTTTCCCCTCTCTTTCTCTCTCTAGAAAGAGAGTTTCCTTCTCTCTTTCTCTCTCTAAATTAGAGAAAGAGAGATTTTCTCTCTCTAACCTCACTCCCCCAATTTCCTACACACTCTAAGCCCATTCCACTAAAAAAACCCAAAAATCCTCTCTTTCCCTCTCTTTCTCTCTCTAGAAAGAGAGCTCTCTTCCCTTTCTTTCTCTCTCTAGCTTCTTTTTTTTAAATAAAAATATGAGAGGCCGAATTTTCATAGAAGGGAGAGGGATAACTTCCAAGATTGGAGAATTAAATTTCATTATCTTGCTTGCAAAAGATGTAGAGGGCATATATATAGGGCTGGCAAGGGCAAACATAATAGTTTCAGAATCTTGGAGGAAGTCAACTGGTTCTAAATTATGAGTACCAAGATGAATCAATGACGGATGAGCAACAACCATATGGGAGTACAAAGGGAATAAACATTTGAATGTACCACTTACGCCCAACTATTTGATTTTTTTGTATTTAGATGAGCCTTCTAACAATTAAGGAAATTGAGACTAAAAATTTTACAGAAAGATCAACATGGGAGATAACTTCAAATATTATATTATGCCAATATACAAAAGGCTCGGAGCCAAAGCTTACCACCTTTTCCAACAGCAATGCCAACGTCCATTCAACAAAAAATATAATCACAAAAGGCCTCAAAAGATGAGCACTGGCAGCATCAACATGCAAAGGTTTATCAAAAATAGAATCAAAGGAGTATTAAGTGGATTGGTTGAAGAACTATAATAGAAGCTAATGAAAAACTATCAAAATAGGGGTGATAGGTGATTCCTCAGATGCATCAAATGTGGAGACCACAACAGATCAAAAAGCCACGATCATGATAGGTAGATCTAGAGAAGAATCTAGAGCAGTCTACACCTGAGAATGGTATCATAATCATGCAATGAGGATCAATTATCCCAACTAAATAGTCACCAACAAAGTTTATGTCTAACAAAAATTTGTGAATGACATCCACATTTGGATGGCCCAAGCAGAATTTAAATATAAAAGACAAAAAGCGGTCTACCAATTTTGAAGATCTCATCCTAAGAAAAAATGAGGGTCAGCTTGCCTTTGATAGGAAGATGAATGTTTATATTGTGGTGGAACTAAGAATTGTTGAAAATGAAAAGGAATCTAAACATATAAAAGAGGGATGCAATCCTGAGTCTGAT